AGGAATCAAACCTGCAACCAAGGCGAGTTGAGTATACAACAATTTTATATTATAAACATTAGGAATCGAGCCTGCAACCAACATGGTTTGTGAGTTTAGGGCGAGTTGGGTGGCTTTGAAAAAGGCGAGTTGGGTGGTTTTGAAAAAGGCGAGTTGGGTGGTTTAAAAAAAGTTGAAAAAGGCGAGTTTAGTTTAAGGCGAGTTGGGTGGTTTTTGAAAAAGGCGAGTTTAAAGCGAGTTGGATGGTTTTGAACAAGTTGAAAAAGGCGAGTACATGTATACTTATATACATCATATTTATGTGATATGCACATATCTTGTTAGTGGCCAATAGGAATCGAAACCGCAACCTTTGTTAGGGAAGCCGCTACTATCGTATGGGACAACTAACACGTCATTGACTAACTGATATAAAAAATTGTAATATATATATATATATATAAAAATTGTAATATATATATCATGGATGTCTGATAGTGTTTGAATTTTAATTTTTTTCACAATTCCAAATCATTTGAAATTTTAGGAGTGTGTTCATAAAAAATAGTTGAATCGTCGAAAAATATTTTATATGGAATAAATAGACCAAAATATCCCCGAAAAGTTTCGAGGTTATTTTGGTCATTTTATTTTTTACGAATACTTTTTTTATATTTTTATTAGATGTGCCTTGATGAGAAGAACACCCCTAAAATTTCTAAGTGATTTGGATTCGTAGAAAAAAAAATAAAATTCAAACACAAAATAAAGCCGTGACTGTCAGATCAGCTTAGATTCAAACTGAGCCGTTGGGCTCAATGTTCATATGAGTTAGTGGGCTAATCTCACCTTTTTCCATATATATATATATAATTCATTTTCTTTTTACAAAAATGAACTAGAATCGGGTGAGTTACTAAGACTCGCTCGAATAAATTGCCTCGGTCAGGACCCGATTACCTTTCCCGAGTCGATTTTTTGAACATTGCTTGAAAATGAATGATTAATATTACTAGATTTGGTGTTTTGAAATTGATTTTATCTTTTCTCCCCCCACCATTCAAATCCATAATCGCTTGGTTCAAACCGTCGAAATGATGGATTTAAGGGTTTTTCAATGGTAAAATTGGAATTTTCCATGAGATTTGGGACTCCTGGGCTCGCGTCCAAACCTTTGCATTGAAATGATATTCCGATCGATATTTGTCAAATAAAAAAAAATAATAATAATCCGATTGATTCAGGAACAGGATTCATGATAATATCGAACGATGATTCGTGTTCAACATTATGTACATCAGACAACTAGCGGGGCA